TTATTCAAATATTATATTCATTAATACAATATAATATGATATTCCTTATGTTTTTATTTATATGTCACTATTTTTTTATTTTATATGCATTAATAAATTAAGTAAGTTTACTATTCTACCCTTATTTAATATTTTTTGAAGTCAACTTTTCAATCAATTAATATGAACTTTATTTTGATTAGTTAATTTGATCAATGAACATGAATTATTCACTTAGTTTTTCTAGGTTGATCAAATATATATTTTCAAGGCTATTAACTCACAAGAGTAAAATAGGAAGAATATTGTAATTTATACATTATTTTTATAAAATGACAAGTATTATGGACCAACTATTTATAGTAAGAATGACTTATAAAAAGAAACAGAGGGAGTAAATCTTAATTCTCTATTTGTATGATACAAATAGAGCTTAATTCTCTATTTGTATGATACAAGTAGAGAATTACGATATACTCCCTCCGTTTCTATTTATATGTCACTATTTTAGATTTCACGCATATTAAGAAACTAAGTAAGTTTACTATTCTATCATTATTTACTTTTTTTTTAAGTCAAGTATTCAATCAATGAATATAGATTTATTTGTTTTTATTATTTAACTTGACCAATGAACATGAAATATTTACTTAATTTTTCTATGTTAATCAAATATATATTTTCAAGACCAATGACTCACAAGGGTAAAATAGGAGTAATAGTGTTATTTATGTATTGATTTTGTGAAATTACAAATATTAAATATTATTTTTTTTTAGTAAGAATGACATATAAATAAAACGGAGGGAATATATGTATCTAGGTCGATCCCGCATAAAAATGACTTGTCTCAAGAAGATGTCTTTAATTTCACCACGTAACACGTGGTTGATAAGATAAGCATAGCCGCATAGGGGCAGTTCTGACAAGGGAGTACAAATATTTATATTTTAGCTACACTGAAGTTCCTTTTCAGCCAATTGCAATGCTCTATAATAATAATAATAACATAACATATAACAATTGAGTTAAATGATATTGAGTTTTTGGTCATTTGATGTCCATATAAAACAACCTTGCATTTTGTACAAGTAAAAGAAGCATTGAGTATTATTTAAAATGACTTAATTGACCTCATTCAAATTAAATTTACTTCGAGCACACATGATGACCACCTTGTGTGTTGTAGACTCTTATTAATAAGTAGTAAAGTAAAGTAATACTAGATGAGTGAGTTTTAGTCGCAATATCAACATAGTCAATATAATTGATATGAAGGGCATCTTACAGAGTGTCTATATCCATTAGCTACTTTTGTGTGCTTATTAGTATTCATTTTTTCTATCACATCCTATAAAGTAAAGTAATATTAGATGAGTGAGTTTAGATGCAATATCAACATAAAGTCAATATAATTGATATTTTGCAGATTTACAGCAATAATAATAATTAAAAAAAATAATATGCATCCACATTGGCTACTGTACACAATTGAACTCCAAACGTATCACTCTATCCCCATTTAATTACCGGCATCCATTAATTAAGATTTTTTTTTTCAAAGGAGTGTCGATTCTTCTTTAATCAGTTCAGTACCATGACATTTGAACAATTACTATTCCCATTTTAGGTTCAAATTTGGGAGCAAATGAAAATATTACGTTGAATTAGCATGACTAACAAGGAAAACTAGTAGTATTATTTTATTCAAAGCTTTATTTTATTAGTATTGATATTATTTTACAATATCATGACTTGCATATAGTTTAGGCAAACAAAACACAAAATCAAACATAGATGGTTATTCTTGAAAGAGGGATGGGAGAGGCTGGAGTGAGTATTATTTATAGCTAGTAATCCATTGGTCCATAAGGTTGGAACCATTCAGCCCAAAACCCCTTTTTCCTCTTTGGGTTCCATCCCATGTCCTTGCAAAGTTGGTCATTGTGCCAAACGTGCAGTGGAGCGATGCACGATTTCCTATAGTACTTGTTATATGAATATCTCTTCTTGTACTTATCCCACTCCGCTATGTCTTTTTCCATAACTTTGATGCTAGGTACCTTGAATTTTCCATCAAGAAGCTCTGCCAGCCACCGACACCTTATTTCCGATGTGTATAGAGTAGCTATGCTTTCTGAGAAACCAATTATTGCAACTTGTGGAATCCGGGGATGAATGCATTCCCTAATTATTTACACATGACATGATGAATGAGAGAGATGACATGCTGTATATGTATATGTATATGCTTGCAAATGTAATTGTTTTTTCTTACTCACCTATAAAGGGGAACTGTAACTGTAGCAGAATCATCTGAGCCTGCTATGAATTCTTGATATTTTGTTGATTCAAATATGTGTTTGAGCTTATCAATTCCCTTGAACCCAGTAGCTAGTATGACTAACTCCGATTTTATTGTTTTGGCCTGACCCTCGAGCACGATACCTTCTTTAGAAAATCCCAAACACTCTGCTTTCTTGATAAGCTTTATACTTCCCTCCTCAACTCTGTCGTAGAAGCCTTCTGGAACTACAGCAACTGAACATGAACTCAAGAAGCTATGCTCCGGCACCATTCCATATTTTGCAAGCCTGTTCTTGTGTTTTATATAACTTTCTACATATTTTGATAAGGCCCACCTCTGTGAAATGGATTTATGTTAATTTTGTTTTGTGAGAGGAAAACAGAGATGTGTATGGACAGTTAGTTACCAATGGTGAAAGAGTTGTGGCGAGGAGACTTAAAAGAAGGCCTTCACCAGGTTTATGCACCATAAGTTCGGAGAATCGACTTGAGTACAGATATCCCAAATTAAGTCCCCATGAGGAAAAATCAGCTGGAAGGTTCCAATTCGGGGTCCTGATTAGTACCGTGCATGGACGTTCAACCCCTGCAATTATATAGTCCTAAGAATCAATCTGAAGAGATACAATATGATGAAAGATGACAACTAATATGTTCAAAATAATAAAAGTCACACACTTGAACAACTAACAGCTTGAGTGTGCTGCACTACTTACCATTAACGGTAGAGCACTCCATTGCAATGTCCATTCCTGATCTTTGAAATCCAACAACGGCTACTTGTTTTCCTTTGACAAAGTTGGTTGCAGTTTTGGAGTCCATCTTGGAATAGTCCATTGAATGGATTACTTGGCCCTCAAAAGCTTCAGGGCCACTGTTTGGACGAAATTCAGGCATGTTTGCAACCTGGCTGAACCTTCCCACGCAAACTACTACAAAATCAACTTGGTATACCTGCACGCACTTTCAATTTTCAACCAACCACGGGACATTATACTACAAAATCATTATGCTCCTTCCTAGATCTGCGTGCTTAGCTTACGAGCAATCCTTACACACTCTCCGAGAGGAATTTTTTTCAATATTTCTTTGTATACATCTCATTTTCATAAGTTGTTGTCACTGAAGAAAACAATTATTGATATAGGTAATATATTTGAATAATAAGTGAAAAGTAAAAATGAACGGAGGAGACAGATTTGAAGAAATCTTCTACTATCTTTTCTTAAATTTATAGTACTCATTTGGTAATTAAGCGTTCTACTTGCCTGTGTAGAAAGGGTTGGAGTGTCCTGTACGGTGACGTTCCACTTGCCTTCACACAAATTCCATTCTCCAGCTCCATTAATTGATGAACTGCTGTCATCTTCATAGCTTAGGCTCAACACTTTGGAATTGAACTTAATGTGTCGTACCAAATCAAAGTGAGTTGCGTATGATTCAATGTACTCCAGCACCGTTTTATGGTCAGGGCACATTTCGGTTACGGAATCAGGCCAGGGGAAATCAGAGAACTGGTAAACCGGTTTTGGTGTCTGCAGCTTAGTGCTCTCAATGGTCTTAGTCCAAACACCTCCAATGCTACTCTCTGACTCAAACACAATTGGATCAAATCCTTTAGAAATGCAGTATTTGCAGGCCAACAGTCCGCTGATTCCAGCACCAATTATGGCTATCACCTCTTTCTTTCTGTCATTAAAATTTGCCATTTGGTACTGTCTCCTCTTTTTGATTGATAGCTTGAATCGCTCTGCCCTTTATAGCTAATATGTGTATTGGCAAGAATACGTGGCTCACCTCCGGAGATATCTGCATTATTAATCTTTGTATTCCAATTTCCATGGTCCAATTAATTTCAATACCAACTACTTTTAGTAAATATCTGGAGTGGCTACTTAATCAGAACACGCAATCCTCAGAAGTTTTGTTTGGGTAGAATCCACAATCCCGTCTCAAAATTTACATTTGAAAATCGTGTTATATAGATATGGTGCCCGCATTTGAAAATTTTTGCCTATACATTTGACTTTATACTAATTATAAATATTGTTTTTATGTGATAAACAGAAATATCTTTATCAGATCATTTGTTGTAATCAAATTGTACTTGGATCTTATTTTAACATCCCCCAATGGGCAATGGCCAATACCAACTAACCATATAATTACTCAATTGAGCTTCCAAATGCATCATGTAACTGTAAGATATAAGCCTGCCTAACTGCAACTCCCTTAGAATTAGAAAAACAAAATCAAGTCAATATGTTGTGTCATTAGATACAAATAATAAGCATATCTGAGGCCAAACAATATAATGGAGCAAGTTGAGGAGGAATTTTTCCAAGTAATTTCCACCTTCCTAATTTTATTGCTACTTGGAGGCTTTGTTCCGCTAGGGGTGTTCTCGAGTTAGAAATGTGAACTGTAAAACATTTGTCATCGTACTAATTAGGTTATGGAGGAGAATACAAATTTAAACAAGCTAAGGTTCTTTTTAGAAATTAACTTTGTCCTCATTGAGGAAAAGTTTTGTGCATAGTAGTATATATATATATATATCAAAGCACTTTTTGTAACTCTCAGAAGACATTCCTTTTGAACTGGAAAGTACTAGCATGCTATCCTTATTGTTCAAAGGTTCAGTAAAAGAAACCATATTTAGAAAAAGAAATTTCATTCTTGAAAGTGAGATGGGAGGTTTTGGAACTCTTCAACATACATTAGCCGATGTAATCCATTGGTCCATAAGGTTCGAACCACTCAGCCCAAAGACACTTTTTCCTTTTAGGGTTCCATCCCATGTCCTTGCATAGTTGGTCATTGTACCAAATGTGCAATGCTCCGATGCATGATCTCCTGTAGTACTTCCTGTAAGAGTATCTCTTCTTGTATTTATCCCATTCTGCTATGTCTTTCTCCATCACCTTAATGCTTGGTAGCATAAATTTTCCATCAAGAAGCTCTCCCAGCCATCGACACCTTATTTCCGAGGTGTGTAGATTAGATACGCTTTCTGAGAATCCAATTATTGCCAGTTGTGGAATCCGGGGATGAATGCATTCCCTGATAAATATAATTATTTCCATATGATATATATATATATATATGTATAATTTTGGAGCATGCATGCTTCCAAAAGTATGCTTTTACTCACCTATAGAGAGGAACTGCAGCAGAATCATCTGAGCCTGCAATGAATTCCTGATATTTTTTCGATTGAAAAATATGCTTGAGATTATCAAGTCCGTTGAAGCCAGTAGCTAGTATGACTAAGTCGGATTTAATGGGTTCAGTAGCATAACCCTCGAGCACAATACCTTCTTTTGAGAATCCAAAACTCTCTGCTTTCTTGATGAGCTTGATACTTCCTTCCTCTACTCTCTCATAGAAGCCCTCTGGCACTAAAGAAACTGAACAGGAACTCAATTCGTTTAAGAAACTATGCTCGGGCACCATTCCATGTTTTGCAAGCTGGTGTTTGTGTTTTATGTAACTTTCTATATATTTTGAGAAGGCCCACCTCTGTCAAAATAAATAAATATATATATATATGCATGCATATTAGTTTTGTGAGAGGAAGAGAATTCAAATTAATGAGTGAGGAAATTAAAGAAAAATGCTCCTTACTAATGGTGAAAGAATTGTGGCGAGGAGACTTAGAAGAAAGCCTTCACCGGGTTTATGAACCATAAGTTCAGAGAATCGATTTAGGAATAGATATCCCAAATTGAGTCCCCATGGGAAATAATCGGGAAGGTTCCAATGTGGTGTCCTGATTAGTACTGTGCATGGACGTTCAACCCCTGCATTACATAACTTTAATACATTACTAGTGCAAAAAGCAGCAGCACATTACATAACTTTAATACATTACTAGTGCAAAAAGCAGCAGCACATTACATAACTTTAATACATTACTAGTGCAAAAAGCAGCAGCCCAAGAGAAAGAGGTAGAATTAACGTACCATTAACTGTGGAGCACTCCATGGCAATGTCCATTCCTGATTTTTGGAATCCTACAACGGCAACTTGTTTTCCTTTGGCAAAGTTGGTTGCAGTTGAGGAGTCCATCTTTGAATAATCCATCGAATGGATTACTTCACCCTCAAAAGCTTCAGGGCCTTTGTTTTGAGGGAATTCAGGCATGTTTGGGACTTGACTGAACCTTCCCACACAAACTACTACGAAATCAACTTGGTATATCTGCATGCAAAATTAATACCAAGGGGTTCTCAAGCAATTTTTTTTAATCTATGGTTTGGTTTTGTGTTCACCATAAAAATTTGGGGAGAATTTTCTTTTGATCCCGTTGATTAACTATCCTTTAAATAAAAAGACATTGAGAAATGCCAAATGGATAAGTAAGACTATTGTATATTAACCATTTTCTTTTGTTTGATCAGAGAAATGTGGGCAGGAAGAAAGAATATTTAAGCGGGCATTGGTGTACAAAATATCACTTTTTTTTTGGGTCAGATTCAAAATATAAGTTGACAGAGAGGAAGTTGTATGCGATGCGAAAGAAGAGTCAAAATTGGGAGAATTTTTTCTTGCCTTTTGCTAACACTAATAATTTTTTTTTCTTAAACTCAATATTTTTTGGCAGAGATTATTAAATAGGTGAAAGTTGAAATTACATTTTTTTTTCTTCCATAAAACACAAAATTTTGTTTTTTACAAAAGCTTATATTAGAGACACATATTAGATTGAGAGATGTAATTACCTGTATCTGTGGGGATATGGTTCGAGTGTCCTGTACAGTAACGTTCCACTTCCCTTTTCCGCTCCACAAATTCCATTCTCCGTCTCCACTGCCGCCATCTTCAAAGTTGAGGCTCAACACTTTGCTATTGAAGTGAATGTGGGTGAACAAATCAAAGTGACGTGCGTACGATTCAATGTATTCAAGCACCATTTGTTGGTCAGGAAACACTTGGGTTACTGAATCGGGCCATGGAAAATCAGAAAACTGGAATACGGGTTTTGGTGTCTGCAGCTTACAGCTCCCAATTGTATTTGTCCAAACACCCCCAATGCTACTCTCCGACTCGAACACAATTGGATCAAATCCTTTGGAAATGCAGTATTTGCACGCTAAGAGGCCGCTGATTCCACCTCCAATTATTGCTATCACCTCCTTCTTTCTGCCCTCAAAATGTGCCATTGTCTCCTTTGTTCTTTTCTGTAATAATAATGATTGATAGATAGATAGTATACAGCTAGAGAGCTTTAATATATAAATTCTGTCCCCCTCTATTATTTAATTATATGAGATTTCTTTATAATTAATACTAGTGACGAAGAGCCCGTGCGCCAAATATCTATTTTTTTTGTTCTAATATATGTGATACAGATAAAATATAGTGAGTTATTTAAATTTATCTATATTACTGGTCACTTTGTCCTAATTTATGTAATATGGATAAAATTACAAAATTAACCATTTTAAAATGTCTTTCAGATATTTTAAGTTGTTAATTATTATTATTTATAATACTTTTTTGAAAATTTTAAAATGATATATGTTATTTTTTTTGTCCCAATATATGTGACCCTGATAGAATTCTGAGAGTCAACCCATTTTATTATATATCTTTTAAATATTTGAAGTCATTTGTAAATGATTTATCTTTTTAAGTCATTTCTAAATAGATCAGTCCATTTATTTTTTTGTGTTTTTTTAATAAATATTTTAAGTTGTCAATTATCACGATTTATTATATTTTATACATAATTTTTAACGATAGATTAATTTCAAGAATCAATCGAATTTTTTTATATGTATTTATTTTTGAAATATTTTATGTTGTTAATTATCATGATTTATAATATTTTTACGATAGATTAACTTCAAGAATCAGTGGAATTTTTTGTATCTTTTTCAAAACATATTTTATGTTGTCATTTATCATGATTTATGACAAATAAATTAAAATGGACCCAATATATGCTATTTTTGTTGTCTAAATTTATGTGACACAAATGAAATTTGGAGAGTCATCCAAATTTTCATATTTTAAAAAAAATGTTTTAAATTATTAATTATTGTGATTTATAATATTTTTATGTAACTTTCAAATAACCTACATTACTGGTCACTTTGTCCTGATTTATGTGATATGGATAAAATTACAAAATTAACCCTTTTAAAATGTTTTTCAGATATTTTAAGTTGTTAATTATTATTATTATTTATAATACTTTTTTGGTAATTTTAAAATGATATATGTTATTTTTTCTGTCCCGATATATGTGACCATGATAGAATTCTGAGAATCAACCCATTTTATTATATATCTTTTAAATATTTGAAGTCATTTGTAAATGATTTATCTTTTTAAGTCATTTCTAAATAGATCAGTCCATTTATTTTTTTATCTTTTTTTAATAAATATTTTAAGTTGTCCAATTATCACGATTTATTGTATTTTATACATAATTTTTAACGATAGATTAATTTCAAGAATCAATTGAATTTTTTTATATGTATTTATTTTTGAAATATTTTATGTTGTTAATTATCATGATTTATAATATTTTTACGATAGATTAACTTCAAGAATTAGTGGAATTTTTTGTATCTTTTTCAAAACATATTTTATGTTGTCAATTATCATGATTTATGACAAATAAATTAAAATGGATCCAATATATGCTATTTTTGTTGTCTGAATTTATGTGACACAAATGAAATTTGGAGAGTCATCCAAATTTTCATATTTTTTAAAAAATGTTTTAAGTTATTAATTATTGTGATTTATAATATTTTTACGTAACTTTCAAATAACCTACATTACTGATCACTTTGTCCTGATTTATGTGATATGGATAAAATTACAAAATTAACCCTTTTAAAATGTTTTTCAGATATTTTAAGTTGTTAATTATTATTATTTATAATACTTTTTTGGTAATTTTAAAATGATATATGTTATTTTTTCTGTCCTGATATATGTGCCCCTGATAGAATTCTGAGAGTCAACCTATTTTATTATATATCTTTTAAATATTTTAAGTAATTTGTAAATGATTTATTAAGATAATTTTAAGTCATTTGTAAATAGTAGAATGTCCCATCCTAAACTCCCTTTTATTATATAGTAAAAATACATAAGTATTATTCTCCATTATGAACTAAATGTTTGCATTACAATATTTTTCTATATTGTTAACTAGTACTAGTATATTACTGTCTCTGTATTACAATCTCACTTAACGTTATTATTAAATGATTGTAGCAGGTTAACATGGTAGAGTAGGTTCCAATTGTGTATATATATATTGCCACCAAATTTCTAAATTAATACTTCATTACTTAACGTGGTTCATGCCAACTATCTCTCCGTGTCCAAGTTGATTGATTTTTTATTTCGGTAGAATGAAATATCAGTAAAACTCAAAATCATAGAGTCGCATCTGAAGAGATTTGACTTTATACTAACTGCAAATACGGAGATAAAAAAAAATTAACCCATGATATCAGACAGTAAATAATAAAATACGACAGAGGTTGGGACTGCTATCTCTGGGTCGGGATGGGGAAAAGGATGGAGTGGTGTTTTGAGGATAGATATTATTACTGTATTTACGCACCGGTCTCATAAACCAGTGCAAAAGAAGCAGCTACTAATAATGAAAAAATATTATCGCTAATTGAATACTTATGAATGCATATTTTACTATGAAAACAAACTGCCTTCTTTTGTTCACCCAAAACAAACAGAAAGCAGGCATCTATTCTCTAATGGGGCTCAAGTGACTGCATTTTAAGCTGTTCCTCGACAATTGTGGCTCTTCCAGAATACTGATTTTGAAAAGCCAGCAGTGCATGCATATTTAAGTTTTGAAGTCAAACTGTGCCAATCATCCAGCTTTACAAAGAAAAAAATAAAACATATTTTTACTGCAAGTGTGTCTAAGCAAATAAGATAGACAATAACAGGAACGAGAAAAACTACTTAAACTACCACAAAACTGTAGGAATACAAAGAAACCACCTTGGACAGTGAGGGATGGTATGCAAACAGTTCCAAGTACATCAACTAAAGAACAACGGTATAAACCAACTCCACACAAGTTTGAACTTATATATGAATTCTTCTATATTTTAACGATCACTCTGCATCAGGGTCAAATATCACAATGTTAAGAATAGGGTCAACAAACTCTTCTTCGAGAACTCAACATACTATTACGTGCAAGTGTATGATTTGCTCATGTAGCCTGATGAAGTCCACACAGTCAATACTGAACAACAAAGGGTTCCTTAAGGGATTGTACACAAATCGCAACTGCATTAATGGGCTGGTGTTGCGACACTAGTTCCCAATCCCATCTTCTGCCCCAGCAGTGCAAGCTGCTCGATGAACTCACCTCCTGTAAGAATTTCTGTCGTCCCATATATAACATGCTTAACTGGCTGTAGACGATTGGCTAGCTCTTGCAAGCTTCCATACTCCACATAGTTACCACCACCTATCATAAAGACAATAGCTTCTTTAAATGGTCCTTTCAGGTGACTGCTGCTCATCCCGGAGCTTGACTTGGGTGCACGAGGATCAAAAATAATATAAGAATCAATTTCTGGATTGGGTTTCCCCTCCATTAATGCTTCTACTGTTCTTGACAAAGCCAACTGATGATCACTGGATAATAGATTTTTGACACCTGCAGTTACAGCACTGATTGACTGCCCATAGAGCTTTTCAGCCCAATCAACAATGTTGCTCCTACTCGCAGAATTTGCTGATGCTAAAGAGACATTCAATGATTTTATCTTCTTTACATACTGAAATGCTGTGGTATCAACCTCAGACTCCCTAAGTGCTGTTTCAATCATTTCAACATCTGATTGATGTAAGCTTTCAGTCGAGATAAGATACATGATAGCAAACCGCAGCTTATCCACCTTAGTCCCTTTTCCCTTGAGAGCTCCGATGAGCTCACTGCGATCAATGACACCTCTTACCATCATATCATTCTCCTTTTTGGCATACGAATCAAGGGACCTCTCCTTGATCTCCCCTAACAATGCTGTAGCAATATTGGTGTGCTTATCAATGACTTGTTTTCTCTCTGTCAACTCAGGCAGGGAATTTACTGCATTCATCAAATGCTTGGTATTGCCAACCAAGTCTGTCCCATCAAACTCAGCCCCTGAGTTCCCACCAGTTTGTTTATTTACCTCCTCCACATCCTTCTTATACTTGTTCAACTGAGCTTCTATCTCCAAAGCAACCTCTGGAAACTCCAACGACCAATTTGCAACCCAGAATGGATCAGATCTGTCCAACTCAAATGATTTCATCCCACCTTTCTCTCCCTGCACACTCAACCTGTTCAATCTCAAACCAAGCACATCATGAACAAGTGGTCTATACCTAAAATCATGTTGTATAGCTACTGACAACTCAAAGTTTCTATCGAATAAACACAAAATTGGCCTCTGAAATGAGCTAGTGAAATTCCCAGCCTCAGAGAATAAATTGTTTTTAGCTAACAGATGGTCTCTGAAACGCTGATCCAACAGGGATGCCACCATCTCAGCAGGCCCACCACGGGGACACCTGATGATAGGGACAACAGCAAGAGTAGCCAACACACAAAATAAGCCACTGACAATCTTTTCAATGATCTCTTCAATTTCTTTATCCCCAGCAGAGGGATCATTCAGTTGAAGATAACAGTTCTTGTAGGCAAGTGAGAACAAATTATCCTCAAGCGTGACAAACTCCAAGTACTGATCATGCACTTTAGAGATCCTTTCAATCGAGTCAGAATTAATCGTGCCTGGAGCAGAAACAAGTCATGCAGTGGTTAATATTTCGAATATCCACCCAGCACCACCCAGAGAATTGCATTAACTATTAATTGTTTCAAATTTAAATCAATCAATTGTCAGATCTAAGCACCACTTTATGCAGTAGGATAAAAATTTATCTTTTTTTGAAAATGGATTGAAGTAGTAGATCGTTTTAGCCCTTACCCCCTTCGAGGAAAAATTGGACAAGCTAGGGTGAGTAAAACAGTATTCAATATTGCTCATCCCTCTATTTGGGTACATTTCATTCCAGTATCAGCTATCATTTCAACCATAAAGTTTTGACAGACACCAAAAAAAAATTAAAAAAAATGAAAATAGTGATGAAAGGAGAAGGCATATAGTGCACCTGAAGCGAGATCTTCGAGCAAGGGCCTGGGAATAGAAGAGGAGAAGTTCAAATGGAAGGAATCGTAAAGAGACTTGGAGGCATCAGCAACGATACGCTGTACATTAAGATGGGTGGGTTGGACGAAGTAGACAGCAGGAACATCATGGACGGGTTTGCGATCCTTATCGATAAGGAAGTAGAGGGTAACGCCGTGTTTACGGAGGTCCTTGACGTGAATCAAAGGGGATAAAATGTCTTGGCAGAATCGATCGTAAATCAGGATCTTGTATACCTCCTCATTGGCAGTGGCACCGGCGTTCACCGGCTGGTTCAGATTTAACATCCGCGTAATACACTCTGCAATTCAACAAATTATTAGAAGATTCCTTCATAAAGTATAAGTGCAGAGATAGATCTAAAGAGAATTACCAGTTTGCTTTTGACGAAGATTTAGCGCCATTGTTGTCACAATTAATTACTCTTTAGGAGGAAATGGGTGAGGGGTTTGTAGTTTGAAGATCTCATCATAGCTTGTTCCTTGCGCCACACATATTGTACTGCCTAATTTTTCCGGGTCGAAAGAATGATTGACCCGGATCCGCTTACGTTCATTGTGCATAGTTTATTGTACATTGAGAGAAGAGAACGACGTCGTGGGGATGGCTTATTACTATAACATAACTAACTACCACTCAATAGTAGGCAAGGCAAGCCTAGGTTGTGACGAATGGCGGGGGAAGGTGGCGTTACGTTTGTGCAGAACAGATATTGGGTGGTGAGGCATGGCAAAAGCATTCCCAATGAAATGGGTCTCATCGTTTCCTCCATGGTTTCCTTCTTTTCTCTTAATCATCATTTCGTTTTTCATATAAATATGCATTCTACACACTATCATCTATGCTTCTTTTATACTCCGTGTTGCGAGTTGCTTTAATATTATTCCACTGCCTTCACTCAGCATGATTAGGGCATACTTATTAGGGCATTTGTATGTTTCTATCTCACTATACTGGCCTTAGAGAATGAATATACCTTAACTTCACCTTCTCATTGTTCAGAGATTTGAAGCTCAGCTTGATAGATGGAAGCCTCTTTTTCAAAATTGAATTCTTCCTTTACCTATCATAAAAGGAAGCTTAATCTTCTTGATAAGTTACCTGTTTGTTGACTGACTACTCATTCTAGAGAGATATAGTAAGTATGATAAGCTAATACTTCCTATTTCCTATGTTACTTGACCCACTTTTCTTCCAGTTTACTCCACTCACTCTTCTTTTTGTTCTAAAATTACCTTTTATGTTATCTTTGAATATGATGTACTATCTCTTCCCCACTTTGCATACATCTAACTAGAACTCCATATGTAAGTACTTCATAACAAGTCCCATTTAAGAACAAATATAAACATTCTTCTATTTGTTCTACTGTTTAATCTGGTAATGTTAGTATTAACAGATGGTTTACCTAGCAGAGGAAATGCTCTAAAATAGGAATAATAGGATATCATTGAAGTCTGCATTTCTTCTTCTAGGAAAACTAGCTAGCTGTAAGAGAATCTAATCCTTGGGGAGGTTTCAGAGTTGGCTGAAATTATTCTTCCACTTGTTAAATCTAAATTACTGAAAGGAGCTGTGACCTTTACAGGAAAATGGAAAACTTGAACAATATAAGTTGACTCCCGAAGGAATCAAACAAGCAGAATTGGCTGGAGAGTCATTCCTAAAGGTTGGTATTCACATTGAACTCAGCTTTTTGTTTCCCGACATGGTCCTCAGCAGACATTTCATCGTTCAGATATTCCACCTATCTTATGTGTGGAGTTAAATAAACCATAATTGTCGTCGACTATGTCTTTCAGTCTTTCAGAAGTTATCTATTAACATTTGACTATATATGGTATTGTATGTCCTGGAATCCTATGGCAGGTCTCTTTTTTATGGAACCTGCCAATGTAACTTTTTGGGATTTGAATGCCTCTATAGTAAGAAGCTTTGATGCTAGATCCATGTCAATTGTTCTTTTATGAGAACTATCATTTGATTTCTTGGTCTTTAAGTTAGCAATAAAGATAGCTAGCAGGAGATGATGACAGTATTGTGAGAAATACATGAGAAAAATATTATTGAATTGTCTATCTACATTATTACGCAAAGACCCTATTTATAGACACTACAATACAATCATTTACCAAGTAAGATACTATTTACTATTCTTATTCCTATTCCTATTCTAAAGTAGGATTATATATACCTATTCCTATTCTAACACTCCATGTGTTTAGTCTTCTCATGAAATACTGGATTTGATGCATAATGTCAGTCAATCTCAATGTGCTTTGTCTTCTCATAAAATACTGAATTTAATGCATAATGTCGATAAAACACAAAGGGATAAAATTACAGTATTGAACTTCCCAAACAAGATTGTTAAGACTGTTTCAGACCATAGAGTGACTTACGTAATCGATATACCATGCTACTAAACTCTCCCTGTGCAACGAAATTAGGTGGTTGCTCCATTTAGACTTCTTCACAATGCAGCGGTCGTTGAAAAGTGCTCAAAATCTAGTATAAAGTATATGGATGAGTCAATATTAAACAAAAAAGTCAGTGCAAAACTGATCGGAACATACTCATACGCCGGAGTATTAGATTTGATTGCTAAAAGTGGTCACAATCTAAGAAATAACATTATATGAGTAGGGTCGAAATGAGGGCACGACCCAACTGGAAAATAGAAATTATATAGAAAAGGTCGGATTGACGGCACGACCCTATTGAGAAAGAGATCGGAATGATGACACGACCTTACTGAAAAAGAGAAATTATATGGGTAGGGTCGGAATAATGACACGATCCTACTAGAAAATAGAAATTTTATGGATAGGGTTGGAATGATGGCACAACCCTATACAAATAAGAAAGTAGACACTAAAAAGAATGGTGCTATGCAAATCAGAAATGAAAAAGTAGTCACCGAAAAATGGCACGGTGAGATATGAGAAAGTAGTCACTAGAATGATGCACGGTGCTACACAAATATAGTCCAAAAAATGCACAGTACTATGCAAATTAAATGTGAGAAAGTAGTCACCGGAAAGATGCATGGTGCTACGCAAATTAGATATGAGAAATTGATCACCGAAAAGATACACAGTGACTCAACTTTTGCTAACATAATCATTGGTCATTTGGGCGGCATATATGGGTAATAGCCATCTGCCGATAGCGGAAGCTCTTTGATTCTCTTGCAAGATCGTAGAGGCTTTTTGATACAATGTGAGAAAAATATTATTGAATTGTCTATCTACATTATTACGCAAAGACCCTATTTATAGACTCTACAGTACAATCCTTTACCAAGTAAGATACTATTTACTATTCCTATTCCTATTCCAATTCTAAGTAAGATTATATATACCTATTCCTATTCTAACAAGTATAAACTACTAAAAACTCATATCACATTTGAACAGTCATTTCCTTTTCACCTCAGTGTCAATTGTGGATCAAGTTGGAGTAACTATAGTGCTTGAAAGAAAACCTGCACATCACGGAGAAAGTGAACTAGTACACCGAGAGAGTGTTCATTGCTAATGAACTAATGAGTTCTATCTTCAGCGTAATGTGAATCTTAAGCAGAAAAAACAAGGCCTAAGCAAAAATATCTAAGTAGCACAGGGGGAAGAGTGAAGCGCTTTCTGAAAGGACCATGCATGTGCTTCTATTCCCTTGAAATAATATCATGTGGAAGCTCAACTTTTTGTCAAAATAAATACTTTTTTCAGTTGCGAAATCAAATATCCTTGGAGGCTAGTGCCAGTAACAGAGTCTTCTGATGATTAGCACCTTGATGTATATGTTTCTGTCATCTGCCCTTCATTTAGAGAAGGTAAAGAGAGACTACCCTATGGTTCCTGATTCAGAGTAATTACGTATATGTTATTCTCTTTGGGCCAAAAAGAGTTCTATCTCTTCTTTATAAGCTTAAGTTGTTGATGGTGTTTACAGGCAATATATTTTCTGATAACAGGTACTCAAAGAAGATAACATACCACTTGAAAATGTTCGAATTTGCTACTCTCCCTTCTCGAGAACCACTCATACAGCACAAGTGGTTGCATCAGTTCTAGATATTTCTTTTGAAGGACCACAGTGCATGGTAAGCCTATCTACCATCACCTAGGACATATAAGCCATCTTGTATCCTCCTTTTTTGTACTTTATTAGTTTATTTGGTTGCTAGGTTGTATATAAGTGATTTTTAGCTTATCAAAAGAACAAAAAAAACCGTGTTTAAGTTTTATCATAGTACTTTGTTTCCAGACATTCTTAAAATGATCAATTCATGAAGCCCTCTCAGATCACAATTATTGGAACATACATGACATGAATTGAGGTCAAAAGCAGCAAGGATCTATAGAAACAAGTAAAAGCTGAAATCTAGTTTTTCTCTATTGATATAAGTCATTCACTTGAGATATGGTCATTTAAATGAACTGTTTGGGCTATTTCTCTTTTTTCACCCTGTATCATTGCTTCCTTAAATGGAGTATCTCTAAATTTATATGGTTAAGCTGAACTGCTATGCACTTTTTCTTCTGAAGATGAATTTGATTTAGCTGTTATAAACTTTTCATGTTTTATATCATTCTTTGCCTGATGGACTCAAGCCAATCACCAATAAGCTTATAAAGGTTTTTTAGTATTATGTAAGGATTCTTGGGGGCTCCATGTCCTTTTTCTCCCTGTCTTTTCTGTCTTGATGAGATGTTTTGTGTTATGATTTTGGCTTTAAGCCGTGTAGATTCTGTTGATAAGCTCTGAGTTAAGATAGCTTTGTTATAACAGGTTCTAGATGATCTTCGGGAGCGCTTCTTTGGTCCTTCTTATGAACTTAAGTCTCATGATAAAGTAAGTTGTTTGTCTTCTGCATTTCAAAATCAAGTGGATGTAGCACAATCTTAAACACCTTCAACTTGGCTTGTGGCTCTTGAATTGATTAATTATTTCTGATTTCAGTATCCTGATATATGGGCTCTAGATGAGAAGGATCCATTCATGCAGCCTGAAGGTGGAGAAAGTGTTGCAGATGTTGTGTCTAGACTCACGAATGCATTGATTAACATGGAGACACAATTTCGAGGGTATTTATTATGCTTTTTACCTCCAAAATTTATCATGTCAAGTAGGAGTATTTTAGTGTAAAGGAAGTCTCTATGTAAAGTGATAATGGGGTTTACCTATTCACTTTTACATAGTTAAGCTTTTAATTGTATTGTCATTATATCTGATGGCCATATAAATTATTATTGTGATTTGGACACTTCAATTGCAGATGCACAGTATTGGTGGTCAGCCATGGTGACCCTCTGCAAATTTTCCAGACAATTCTGAATGCAGCTAAGGATAACAATGGATCCTGTGAAAATGACTTGGCCTTAAGAATACAGGCAGTCAAAATCCCTTCCGTTCTCTCACAGCACCGAAAGTTTGCTCTACAAACAGGAGAATTGCGTTCAGTAGTTTAATCCACAGCTTGAACTGCGCATTCTGAAACATTCTTTCATCTCATGCTGTTATTCTTCTGTATACAATCTGAATCGCCCCTTACTGGTTTATCTGTCTCTAGGGAGAATAATTTGGTCTTACAAACAATATTAAACAGTAGTGTTCAATTTGTCATCTCCTTTGTCAGGGGAGGTAAGCTGCTGTACTTGAGTACATTCTTAATAATTGGAGAGCTTTAATATGCTTCCGGAATTTTATTTTTTTTCTGATCTCCTTACCAAAGAGTCCTCAGTCAATGTGACGGGAAATTTATATTTTTAGCCTCATACTTCTCTGCTTCCCTATCTATCATGAACTAGGTCTGCTTTCAAGATGTATCTTCCCACCCTCGTGTAAAGGTTAGGGAAGCTAAGATGGAGATGATGCTAACGATCAGGTTATTGTTAAAAGATCCTTGAAGTAGAAGGCATTTTGTGTCCAAAATAACAATGGTTAGGCGTTTAACTTACTTTGTACTTGGTGCTGTTGGAATTTGTCTACTTGAAATGCCATTTTTTGATACCAAAGAATCACTTGATACTAATGTTTGTAGTATTGACTCTATAATTATATTAACAACAAAATGTGATAACAAGAGATGTATCAACAGTAATGTATTAGATTATTACAAGGCCGTCCTTAAAACTATGTAATTTGTTAGTTAATCATATTCATTATGTTTCATTCGCCTTTTAATACTAATGTTTGTCTTATTGATTCTATAATTATAATTATAATAATAAAGGAGAACTGCAAGATTTCTTCATTATTTATCTCATACTATAGTATAACTTACTGAAATTTTCCTCATTTAACGTAATTAAAATTTGATAATTCTAAGTTTTATTTTATCAACCTAGTAATACAAAGTTGAATAAAGCATTAATACAAGCAAATGAGTTCCAAATAATGAATCCTTTGAAAGACTAGATTCAGGTTATAAATGTACATCATTTATCAATATTTTAATGTGACCAACTGAATGTCTAAACAAATACAATAATTTAGTGATACTACATGCACCGTTTCATTCCTGATATAACTTGTACACACAACCAAATGACTCCTTAGTGCTCCCTCCAACCATTCACCGCTAACGCCTCTTTTCAAATCATTGCATTTTACAGAAATCGTACAAAGCATCTTACTCAATGCTATTATAGCAGCAATTGGAAACTGGATAGTGAGACAACGACCTCAGATTCGACAATTGGCAGCTGCGAATAAGAAACAAAAAAGAAAAGAAGTGTCATTAGAAAACGAGGCCTGCTACATTGTATCATTAACATAAAGCAGAAAAACATCTTGCCTAAGAATGGATGACAACCCCTGACGCTGTCGGGAGAGATGCAAACAGATGGCTGTATCTTTAATTGAAAACTTATACTCACCCCATCACGAGAGGTGAATGTTTAATATTTCCTACATTCCCATAGGAATCATTTCCTTTCTATTGTTTCTTCTCTTGGCACACTAACGGCAAAGGAGCATCATACATATCTGTCAAGGACAGGGATGATGAAAAACTCCATTGGCATGTGAGACAATCCTATATTTTGGAAGGCCAACCTATTGAACCACTATGGTCATTTGCATGAATATCACAACCTTCAACTAACTAGTGAACCTTTTTCATGGTTTCAAGCAGATGGTACATTTACAACACACACACACACACACAAAAAAAAAAAAAATGGGAAGACTTCTGGCATAGCCAATCAGTGGGGCTTGTGGGTTCACCACTCAGATTGGATGAGTAAATGCTACCAAAAGCCACCTCTTCAAAAGAACCCTGAACGGGCTAATTGATGGAAGTCACCCATCTCTACTACAGATAACAATTAGTGAAATGCAAAATGAAATGAGGCATCACAAAGATTAGAAGATAGTGAAAGGTAGTGTGTCCTCTAAATACTCACTGCAGTAGATAAATTGGTTAATATCAAGAGTCACTCGCCCTTGCTTGGCTGTGTCAAATGAATCAAAAAGGTTCCTGCAAAGATTGAGAAGATCATTAAAGATTTTTCTAAGAAATTCAACAATGAACTAACATCTGAGAACAATTACATGTGCAGCTCTACTGAATCACATTTTAGTCTCATCAAGAACTACAAATGTATTGAAATGAATGTCTTAACTCAAACGCTAAATTGATGTGTTAACCAAGAATCCTTCTTAGTTGCAAGACAGATGACAGTGACTCAATGTGAAAGCGCCAGATATAAATCATGAGGCCCTCTCAACATATTGATCATGAATATTATAAATGCAAGAAGAGACAACCATTTCATGTAAATCAACATCTACTCACCGTGCAGACTGTACAAAGATACAAAGAGATATGAAGTCATCAAGCCTGAATTTTCCATTCTTATTCCTATCAAAACTCTGCACAATTTACCCAGAAAAGAATAATATCAGTTCAAACCAAGAGGACTAGAAAGAATTTCCACCCTCAGACCAATTGACATAGGTTGTTTCACGTAACATTCCACAGGCACATCTTAGTTACAAGTTTCAATATGTCATCCTGCGAGTAACCCTCCATCTGGAGTTCTGGACAACCAAATGGGTTGTCCCTGTCCCTAATAGAAAGGTGGAGTAATGAAATCATTAAGCTGTGTTCTTTTTTTAATCAGTAAAAGCAGAGAATCAAGCATTTTTTTACCATGAAATTCTATCATCCTGCTCTCATGAACCTCAAAAGAGAAAAACCAGAATAACTATTACAATGAATTTCATGAATTTTTACTATTTCATTTTAACCATCTGCCAGACTGCCACAACCCACCAATTACCCACAACGTAACCAACAGGATTAGCATTGTATATGAGTATGGTTTGCTAGCTATAGCAAGCCATTAATTAACACCTTTATCTTGTCTTTTTTTTTTCTTTGTTAACATGCTTATAGTACCACCAAGTCATTATAAATGCGAAAAGAACCACACAATAAAAAAAGAAGAAGATAAAGATCCTTGAGCTTTAAATAAAATGTGAGAAGCAAACACATTTGCATTTCAATTTCTTATATTCATTACTGCTTTTCTTATATTCCATACTGCTAGTTTCGATTAAAATATTGTTTAAACCAAATACATGTCACTAGGAACTCAATGCCAAATCTTTCACATTTTATTTACAATTTTCTTCTCTTGTATGAATACAGTTTAAACAACTAAAACAAATGAACCAGAAGTAGTTGAATAAATCTAATGTTTTCTTCTTATATATGTCATTTGGCTGTTCGGTACTTTTGTTTACAATTTCTTCTTCTCTTCTATGAAAAACGGTTTAAAACAACTAAAGTGAATAACAAAAAGGAACATCGAATAAGTCTAAAAAAATTTTCTTATATTTGTCATTTGGTTGTCGAATTATGTTGTAAAACTAACAAATTCATTAGACATTGTTTTACCCAATGACAAAAGGTGATGGTTTACAAGAAAAGTGTGCAATGGATAAAAGGAGCATCCGTTTCAGTTTGATGGTGCTTTGAGAAAAAGATGCAACATCTGTAGGCCTCAAAAGGAAGTACAATGCAGAAGTATATTTATGTATCCCACTTCACAAAGAATCTCATAATGAATTTTATAATAATTACAATACCTCGCAGACAGTGTATAGTGCTGGAGAGTCGAGGCGGAATCCAATTTTTATCAAGGCCTGCAAATTATGCAACATATTCATTGATAGATTATTGTCTACTGCAAATAGGCGGCTGTTAAAGGCCATTTGGCAGTCCAAGTGTTCCTTCTTCATTTTCCTAGTCAGAAGGTCTGAAATGTACTATAAGCAAATGCAAGAAAGCAGGAGTTTGAGATTAAGGAGTTTCTTGCCTCGTAAACATCATCTGGGACAAGGAATCCACGACCCCTAATTCAGTGACCAAAATAATACAAGAATTAATTTCCTCAAAACATATTTTCCAACCAATGACATGAGAAGTACTCGAAAAGTACTAAATGATTCGTTTTACCAAGAAAAAGAAATTCACCTCTCCAAGTCTGAGAACACATGTTGCACCTACAAATGATAGATTGATGGTTCATAAAAATCAAACAATTGAAAAATCTTTGAAGGAACGCATCTTATAAACACGTTTAATGAAGTATCTACAGTAAAATAAGAAAAAAATGTCATTGAATTCATGCAGCACTAAAGTTTTCATTCTAGTGCTGCCAAGATGAGGTAGTACAACTATTGTGAAATTCAGTGTATGAGAAGAACACCACAAAGCGACACCTCAAGTCACATGCAAATTGCATATAGAGAAGACCAATTAATGACTTAATGTATTTGAAGAAAAACTAGAACACAAAAATTTAACTAGAGAAGAAAGCTGACCTTCAGCAGAAATTTGTTAAGTTCAACAAACTCTGGGAAACAAAAATAAGATTAACATCAGTATGAGATTCTCAATGGAACAATTAGTAAATATGAACTCAATTGCACCAAAATAAAGTAAAGAAGGGCATGCAGTAGATTGCACTGATGATGTAAACAATGACTATAAAAGTAAGAAAAAGGGAAATCTATGTTAAGGTTAAGTTTAAGATATGCTGATTATGTTTTTTGTTATATATTTTCCTTGTTGAAGTTCCAGTTTGATATGACAGTAATAAATAGGCAAGCTAATGGATTAATTAGAGTGGAAAGATGAACCTCACCTTCAAAACTCATGGTTCCATTCTGATCAAAATCGCACATCCTGGTGGTAATTGACAAAGAATAAAATCAAATAAAAATGATAGGAGTATTTGATAATTTAATATAGAGAGGTTGAAAACCTGATCATTTGCTGGACAACAGTGATAGGAAATTGTAAATTTCCAATTGCAAAAGCACTCTGAGACAGTAGAGAGCATGGGAATAAGGACCAAATCGAGAGAGTAAGTAAGGAAGAAGGATTAATATTAAAGCAAAAAATAAAGACCTTCAGTTGGATTGCAGTGATACTACCGATTTTTTCGGTGTCAACCCGCTCGAACCACTCTCTCAAAATCGCCGAGTTCTCCATCTTCTCTTCTACAATCGGACGGACCCGTCAACACAATGTTCTCTCTCTCCTCATATATTTATTTATTTTATTACTTCTTCCTTGCCAACTTTTCTGAAATGTATTACTGTCCTAACCCCTATATTCCTAATTTCTGAAAAATTTCCAGATTTAGGTTTAAGCCTTGAAAATGAAAATTTTGAATTTGGAGTCATACTTTTTTTGTATATGAACTATATTTTAATTTTGATTTTTAAATAAGTAAAATGACTTAATTTAAGTAATTGATCTGAAATACACCGTTAAATTTGTTCTAAACAAATAATATCTCAAAATAGATAGTTATATAATAACATATTTAAATCTTATAAGAGCTACCACATACTATTACAATATTTTTTTCACTTTATTTAAAAATTTTGAAGTTGAAATTAAATATGGGATTATGTTTAGTTATAATTTTTATAACTACTATTTGATTGTTATTCTAAAAACATGAAATATAGTTGAAACAAGGTCATTTTATAAAAATAAATTTTAGGGGAAATTTTGAAAAAAAAAATTATAGTCAAAGTGCAAAAGAAAAAGAGGGAAATTATAGGTTCTTGAATGTTTTTTCAAATTTCAATATAACTTGGAGTTGTATTTAGAATTTTCATGGCCAAAATTGATTTTCAAATAAAGTAAAAAAATTGAAAAAATGAAAAATTAATATTGATCAAACGGGTCTTAAAGTGTTCTAATTTAACATTTAAATTTATTTTTCTTGGTTTTCATTATGTTTTGATTTTTATTAGTATTATATCTATTTCTTTAGCCTTGATATTTTATATTCTTGTTATTGTTGCTTACTTGTTTATGTTTGATATATTTATCACTTTTTAATCTTGTTCATCCGAGTCGAAGGACTATCAAAAAGAATTAGAGATAATGGTAAAAAGTACATTTGAATTTTTTTAGTTTTTTGAGTTTCATATCTAAACTATTGAAAGTCTAAGTTTTCCACGGAAACTATCACCCAATAGTTAGCGAAACACATCTCGATTAATTTTTTATGATGTGTGTACTATAGTCTCTCTTTTATTTAAACAAATTTCACGTGGAAAAATAATTTCACATGGAAAATCTAAACAAGTTAATATTAAGTTAAAAATTACGTAAAAGGTTAAAACTATCACCATATAAATTAATTTAAGGAAAAAGGACAAATATACCTCCGAACTATTGTAAATGGTATGCAGATACCCTTTGTCATACTTTTGGGACATTGGTGCCCCCGCCGTCTAAACACTAGAGCATATATACCCTTTATACTAACGGACATACACGTGTCGTAATCTTATCCACTGACCCAACATTTTTTAAATATCGGATCGACGGATGAGATTGTGCCACGTGTCCCTATTTAGTCTTCCGTTAGAGTGAAGGGCATATATGCTCTAGTTTTTGGACGGCATGGACACCAATGTCCCAAAAGTATGACGGATGGTATTTGCATACCATTTACGATAGTTCGGGCGTATATTTGTCCTTTTTCCCATTAATTTATCCCAATAATAACATTCACCATCTTCTTCTCCACCTTCTTATTTGTGGTTTCATCTTTGTCACGACGTCGATATCTATAGCTTGGAAGAGGAGAGTATAGGATTTTAAAGAAACCAATTAAAAATATATTTAAAAATAATGTGTCAACTAATAGAGTCATTTTATATGTCAGGTGGATGAAATTTTTATGGACAAACGCGCCTAGAAACATTTCTCAACAAACATTTGGTCTATTCAATGTGTCAACTAATAGAGTCATTTTATATGTCAGGTGGATGAAGTTTTTATGGACAAACGCGCCTAGAAACATTTCTCAACAAATATTTGGTCTATTCAATGTTAAGGTATGGTTTGCAAACTATTAAGCAATAGTTGAGTTAGAAAACTTGCACTCTCAATAGATTAGATACGAAACTCAGTAATATAAAATCTCCTTCTGTCCAACAATAACTGTCCACTATTGACTTGAAACAGGATTAAGAAGTAGCGAATGATAGAGATAATTTTATCAAATCACCGTTACTAAATATAAGCTAAACATTGAAAAATGAATAATATTTAACAATAAAATTATAATAGACACAAAATGGTAGCTGAACAAATATTATTGGACATGTTAAAATAGTACAATGGACAAGTAAAGATGAATGTAGAGACTAGTTGAGATGTATTTTGACGCTAAGGCTTAACTCAAACAATTATCCCATTTGTTACTTTAGAATAACAGATGGGTCCAAACGGGCCACAACCCGAATAGCCCACAAAAGAATCGGGTCGTAACGGGTTACAACAGCCGATAACCAATAACTCCCCTCTTTGCACGCACCAGACAGGCACGATCAACAATCCGAGGGCCATTGCTCCCACTCTCTCTCAATCAAATCAATCTTCTTTCTCCTCATACTGGACCGGTTGTTTGTTACCACAATTCCTCCCTCGTTGAGAAGAATTTGGAAGCATAGACATATTAATGTAAGTTTTCATTGCTTTTCTCATTTAGTCACGCAATTCAATTCTCGAATTGATGTTTTGATACTTATGCATTTGTAGAGCGCATGAGTGCTGTTTTATTTATTCATGGTATAAATCTTCTGCTAAGTTGTATTTTAGATATTCAAAACAATATTCTGCTGGTAGAGGGATTATACCTACTATTGTGGACAAGGGGGATTCCTTGGTTTCATAATTTGGTTTCAGAATCTTAAAAGAAACGTGATTCCTTCAGTTTATTGATATTGTAATTCAAAGATGATTCCATTGTTCAGGAAAGACTACACTAATTCGTCATCCATCCTGACCTAACTCCCACCCCCAGAAAAGAAAAAAGAACACTGGCCAGATTAACCCATTCTAAACTGCCTCATTCGTAATCGCTAAAAGAATACAATGAGAGAAAGAGAGAGAACTACATCTATTAGCTTACAAATGTTAAAACTATAGCTTACAAACTTCCTTAGCTGTATCAGATAACTTGGCTATTTCCTAAATGATTTTTTTGCAAGATAAATCATACTATTGCAATCACAAGTTCCAATTACCTTAGGTGAAATGATATGAAAAAGTAGTTCTTTGCTTATGTTCACTACGGGATAAGAAGTAGAGTACAGTACTACAAAAAACCAGAACCAAAAAGGAAACAAAATAGTGAAGGGAATTTAGCTACATAATTGGAATGCTAGGTTTCTTTCCATTTTAAGAATTATAAAACATGTTATTTTCCAGTTTTAAGGTTTTCATCTTTTCAAACTTTAGCTGAATATGTTTTTGGGATAAATTATCAAAAGAATGTTTAGGGGATCAAATCTTATTTATTTTATCAATAGAATTAACTCACCAAATGCAAAATTGTTTACTTGGATTAATTGTCTTTCTCGTGGATTATACCATAATTTCTTGATCCAGTGGATAATGTAACTTAACTTTTGTGACTATCAATGCAACTCAGTAATTGGCGGTATTTCTTGCTATTGAGATCAGGCAGTAGGGCGTTTAAAAAGATGGAAAAAGGACTTGGCACATTGAGAACTGCATTTACAACATTTTAGATGTATTACTTGCAAAATTACTTCTCTAAACCATGCGGATTAAGTTGACAGATTCAAACCAACTTAGCAGAACTTATATTATTTATATATGTTTTAGCAAAAAAAAATCGTTGGATCCTCTTCCATTTTTGTTTTTGGTTGTTGAAAGCGGCTGAACTAGAATATGTTCTCACGTGAGTTGCTGCTTCTCTTCAGAGCTGCAGATCATTTTCATTATGTATTGGAATGGAACCACTTTGAATGGAACATATTCTTCTCATGTCATGCTCCATCATCTTGATGTTGTGAGCCTATGAGGTGAGAGTAATATTCTCGACTCCGTCCTGGATGGTATACAGTTAGTCCATTTTATTCATATTTCATTATATAGACGTTTGCTTGGACATATATATTCTTGACATGCAAATGTAGGCATATATTGCTGATGTTCTACATTCATCACTCACAGTGTTCCCAAAACACTGAAATTCAAGTTTCTTTGTCATCTATTCAATTGTTTTATGTAAATCATGTTCTAATTTCTTTTTCCCTCCACCACTCCTTGCCGTGAAGTTTAAAGTAAAATCCTTGCTGTGATATTGTGGTGGGTTCTGACTCTGTTGCTACACTAATCCCGAATAGGTCTAGATCACAATAACCTATGACGAATTAACACCATTGAGTATCTTTCTTTAACCTCTCTTTAAAGCTATGTTTCTCGGACTCTTCAAAAATGTCAAGGGGTGCATGTCGGATTCGCCAAAAGTAGTGCATTTTTGGAGAATCTGACACGGGTGCGGCATCGAAAGTAAAGAGTCTGCACAACTTAGCTTAAAATTGTAAAACTAGAATTATCCCCCAAGTTACCGTAATTACTTTCAACAAATGCGGGGATAAATTGGTCTCTCTTCAACACTGCAGCTCTGAATGGTTAGCTTGTTGTCTTCTGTTTTTTAAACTTTTCGACTTTTCCTTAATATATATTCTGGAAAAAATGATTTGATTTATGGCAAGTAAATGGCGAGTAAATGATTTCAGGCCGGGGCTTCTTTATTAAAACCAATGCTGTTAAAAGTGAAAAGCACAAAGAAGCAACACGGTGCATAGGCATGAAGTGAAAAGCAAGAAGTGAAGAACACAATTTTCAGAAAATTACAAAATTCCAAACACATTGGTTTGGAGTGGTTGTTGTTATAGTATAAGAAGGTGTTCGACATCAATGTATTGCAAGGATAAATATTTTGGTGATTGTTGCAAGGATCATTTTGTTACAATCTTTGAAGTATGAATGATCTATATATCTCTCCATTTTGTTGTCCATGATGGAAAGCTGAAAAGGGTTCTTTGACATGAAGAACTTGTCCCAAATAAAAAAAATTAGACCAGAAGAAAAATTCTTTGATAAGACTAGTGTACCTGTTTGTATGAATGTTGAGAAGGTTATGAAAGAGAAAGGAAGAGGAAGAGTATGCTTCTGGAGGCAACAATCCTCCTAAGAGACTATCTTACAGAACCGATGATTCTGAAGTTGCCGAGCACGTCACAGTCTGTGAGGTTTTTAAGAATGGGAAAGTGTCAGTTAGGAACTTTGAATGGAAGATAATGATGGATTCGAGAGTATTATTTCTGTTTGCATGTGCAGATATGTTGAGAAGGTTAAGAGAAAGGAAGAGGGTGAGTATGCTTCTGGAGGCCACAATTCTCCTAAGAGACTATCCTCCAGAACCTATGATTCTGAAGTTGCCGATCACATCGTAGTTTGTTAGATTTCTAAGAATTGGAAAGTGCCAGTTAGGAACTTCAGAGGGAAGAGTATGATGGACATTTGAGAGTGTTATTTTGAGATGGAGCAAATGCGAGTAATAAAGGCATCTCATTGAGTATGCATTTGTGGAATGTTCTCAGAGATCATGCAGATGAAATTGATAAGGTTGTTTCTGAGAACAATTTAATGGTGGAGCTGTAGCATATGCTGGGTTGGTGGAATAATGTTTTTATGTGTAAAGATAAGTTGAATTGGAACTAGTAGATGCTTTTCCATGGGAATGTTCTAGATTAGGAATAAAGCAAACTCTGCTTAAGTTGGTAACTAAATGGCTTAATGGAATAAACACTTTCTGAATGGATTTCTGCATTCATTCCTGTTGCTTATCCTTTAAACAGAAAGAGAGGGGAAGGAGGAGGAATACATATTTTTTGTTACACCTCGAAATTTGTCTAGTTTGAGCCTTTATATCTTGGCTTTAAGAAAAAAATTATAACTTTGTTTGTACTAAAATGTTTGTGGAGTACTTGACTAGATCATAATAGTTATTTGGTTAAATAGTAGCTTTTATCATGATCTGGTTTTTGCTTGTTGCTAGACGTATAAGATTCAACTATCTTTTATGATGAATTTTTAGTTTAAAATGTCACACCATCTAACATTTGACCCTCAAGTTTAGGATCATAGGATGTTAGGAGCATGCATTTACCTATAAACTATCTGATGGAGAATCAAGATCCATAACTTTTCACAAAATTAACTGCAGCTTATGGACACATTGGTAGTTATATATTCCCTTCATTTCACTTCATATGATAGTATTTTACTTGGCACAGAGTTTATTGTTTATGAAAGAAAGGACTTCTGCACAGTAACTAAATATATATTATTAATGTACCAAATGTACCCATAAGGTATTCTGGTTTGCAACATGACATGTCGATTCTATAAGGAAAAGCGAGAAAACTGAAATTAAAGATTTTCCTTGTATAAGGTGTCACTCTTTTTTGGGACAGACTAAAGAGAAAAGAGTGTAGTATAAAATGGAATAGAGGGTATCGGACTTGTGAATTTCTCTTTCTGATTTAACTCTTTTGAACCTTCTCTTCTTAAAAATCAAACTACTAACTTTTGTACTTAAGTAACACAAGATTTGTTCATAATTACTTGAAAAGGCAAGATCTATGTAATCATCTAACATACACCTTCTCTTAGATGGGTCAACAAACTGTAGATTCAAAATCAAGTGACCAGACTAATGCTAAATCTGGTTTACCCAAGCATGATAAACAGCTGTTGGTGCCAGTAGCCATAGTGGGACCTGCACTACAAGATTCACAGAGTGAAAGTATAGTTGCTGCCTCCAAATCTGCTGAAAGCCCACTATTTCCTGAAGCGCATACTATGGCGAATAAAGTTTCTAATATAACTGGCTCCAAAAGACCTACCCCGGAATGCCTAGTGAACCCACTCAACCGATGCTCGACAAACAATTCTGGTAGTGGGCATCTTGTCTATGTTCGTAGAAGACCTGAAGGAGAGTTAAGCAAAACAGCTGCTAATAACAACCAAAGCGGTGTTACTGATTATCCACAACTAAAAAAGCATAGTCAACGTGATGAGAAAACTCAGACTGAAGTCCAGATGAAGGAAGGATATTACATTCCAGAAGTTTCATCAATCTCATGGACTCCTTCAAGGTGCTCCTTGTCCACAAAACCTTCAGTTCCTCCCTCTACAGGAGAGTCCAACAACAATTTAGCTTCAGTTAATGTTAGCAACCATCAAGTCACGTCTACTAGACTATTGTTGGATAATCCCAAGAAGGTTAATTTTAAGCATTGGGAAGAGCGGTATTTCCAATTGCAGAACTTGCTGCACAGACTGGAGCAATCAAAGCAAGAGGATTATGTACAGAGTATGTAGTCTAATTTCTTGATGCCTGCTCACTTAATTGTCTGTCTGTTGTAACTCATCTTCTTACTCATTTTATCAATATAATGTCATTGAGCAGTGCTTCGTTCTCTCTCCTCTGTTGACCTAAGCAATCATGCTGTTGAACTGGAGAAGAGGTCCATACGGCTTGCCTTGGAGGAAGGTACTTTATGATATTTGCTTTTATTGTTGCTTTATTATGGTCCTAGAGATGTGATTTGAATGAAAAAGTAAGTAAACCTGCTGCCTTTATTGTTGTACTCTCAGATTTGCCTTGACACATCTTTTTCCGTTTCAATGATGTGTTGGATTTATTTATTTATTTGGCTGATGATGCAAGATGCATTTTGCTTCAAGAATTAATTTCTGATCTTTTTGGATATTTACTTGGTTAGAAACGACAATGGTGTTTGATATCTCCTAAAGTCTTGTGTGTGCGCGGCTTGGTTCTAATGAAAGGGTTGACCCTAAAGATAGTTATGAGTTGGGTTTATTTTCTGTATTGAGGTTTTTTCGGTAAGCCATTCTCACAATCCCTGGGAATGACCTCTGACTAAGTTTTGGTAAGTTTGAATCCTCAAAAGAGTATGAATTGTACATTGTATGGATTAACATTTTGTTATTTCCTCTCTGATAGAATGGTTCTTCGTTGGGGCATCAGAAAGAGAATTGCTGCTATATTTGATACTGAACCTATTATTAATTGTTGAAAATGATTGGGCTTTTGACTCTGCCTATTTCCTTTCTGCCCTCTTTGTTCCAGTGAAATGGTGAAAAGCTTGTGCCATTTTCTCAGTTCTCTGCTTCATTTAACATTACCTATTTTATAGATTTTTAGCACAATTAGTTCAAAGGACCTTTTCTGGTGCTGGTATTGTTTCTAAATTTCACTTTTTTTTGGTTTTCTCCCGAAATTTCTCAGCGAAAGAGGCGCAGCGAGTAAGAGTCTTGGATATTTTGGGGAAATATCCGAAGAACCCCAGAGCTTCTCTAGCTTGATGTCCTGAACAGCCTCAGAAAGAAGGAAATGTAATTGTATTCTTAAACAGACTTTGTACATGTTGTAGCCTGATATTCACATTGTAGTTAGAGTATCTGTCTGGTCTTAGCTAGTTAATGTGTTGTAGCTATCGTTTGTTAACTCTTAACTTATAGCGCGTTTTATTGAGGAAATGGAAATGGCTTTCCTCAGGTCCATCAGCAACAGTTGAGATTGAATGTTTGTGCCCATAAATCATTTAATCCTCTTCTGTTTCTATCTATACTCAGTCGTAGAACTTATCAAAAAGAATCTGTTACTGAGTTGTGGAACCAGATTTTGGCAGAAATTTTTGCGGGATGACAATTTGTATTCATGCAGATATTGTGAATTAGAGGTGATGTGGTCAACCCAAACCAGTTTTGGATTGAGACGTAGTTGATTTGTTTTAGTTATTGTAAATTGGTATTGATGGAATAACGAGTTATGATTATACCCCTGTCCCATATAGGGTAAAAAGAGAGATTGTTTCCCTGTCCTAGTAGTTGATGTTGGGTTGTGGTCTTGTTTTCCCCCTTTATCATCAGTGAGAGTATATTGTATAGTTCATATTTAATCTTTTTGGGCCGTGTTATTTACAGATATTTGTTAGCTTAGACAGTTGTGATGCTAAAATGTGTATAGTGATGAGAATTGGAGGTAGAAGAAGAGAGAGTGTTATTGGACATTTGTTATTAAAAAAATGGAAGGTCAGCTTATTACATCAATGATGCTTGCTTGTCCCACGATAGTACGGGGCAACTCCGACAGTTTTAGGAGTAATTTGTCAATAAAATCACAAGCACAAAAAAGTCTTTGATATGGACTTGGAATATGGTATAGATGCATAAAAAGAGAATATGCAATATTCACATTCTTTTCTTTTCTCTTATATGTGGGGGAGTGAGATGCAATGAATCTTTCACATCTACCACCTTATCTCCAACTTGTAAATAATACAAAATTAATTATTAGCAAAATATGTGTCATCTTCTCACCCCATCGTCACTTGTACATGGTATGTGTTGTCCACATACCTATCTAGATATATAAAAAAAATTAGAGTTGATTATGTCGTAATAATGGAAATTAAAGAAAGAAGAATCTTGTTTGAATCTTGGGTTTGATCCAATAATCGTGTTGGCCTGGAATCTTCTCTCTTATCTCTTACAGCCTGAAGCCAGAGAATATGATACTATATTATTTCTATCAACATACACATAATTAATTATTTTCTGCTTCAATAATACAACATATAATAATACTCCTACTTAGACAACAGAATACGACTTTTTCTTTTGCTATCTACTAGAAAAAATAAAATAAAAACTTTTTGACTTTTATTATTTTATAGTAGTAGATGTTTCTTGCCTTGCTTGCGTATGTTTCAAATTTTGAATATACCATTAGCTAATTTTATTTGAGTTTACCATTACTTGCATTAGTAGTAACACGTCATGAACACATCCACTACAAGTTTCTGTTACTCATGGAATCGAACCTCCTAGTCCTACCTCAGCTGACACATAATTTTATGAGATATTTGTGTGTTATATCCAATCAAATGTCAAAACTTAATTCACTTTTGAATGTTTTATCATATATTTCTCATAGTTGATGATCGAGAGTGGTGTATGGATCTATGGATTAAGATAAATGGTATATAGGGTATAGAACATGTGCTTATAAAACAATATTGGAGGTGGATATATACATAGATAATTAATCACACAGTCGGCTGCCGTGCTCAACAGATAATTATATATAGTGGTAATATACTAAGTAATTGTCAACCCACAACATAAAGAAAAAGTGAAAAAAGAAAATGAAATTAATGAAGATGGTCACTTTCAAGGCCGCCCATTAACAAAAATTGGTACAACTGTTCCATTTGACAAAGGATGAGCTAGATATATAGATAGGGCTCATTCAAGATATATATATATAGATTAATTATTAGCTACAAGATATTAAGTGGAATTAATAATTAATCATTTTATAAGTACGTGTCTACAATACGATTTGTTATTCCCTTAACTCATGTTTGACCTGACACACTCCTTAAAAAATGATATTTTATTGCAATTCTAAATTTACATAGTTATTTAATATAAAAAAATAAAATAGTATGAAGAGAAAATAATAACTCTCTCTTAATTAATTTGCAAAAATGAAATGGGAGGGAGTATATACTAGGTAGGCACCAAACCAATTCACGTCTCTGGCTATTCTTAGATTACGTCTTCTCATTAAGATATATATGTTGTCAAAATATGTCTCCTTATTTTATTTTGGATATCTTCGTAATATTTACCATGGAATTGATTAACTTTTCTCCTGTTCTTGTGTTGTCGCAATTGCTCATCAATCTCTATAATTGAAATACTCCAACATGCATAACTTAATTTTGCTCCTTTATTCAGTAACAGTAGTTTGCATCAAAATAAGCTTCAATCCCAAATTTAAGTTATGATCGGCTATTTCAAGTCTAGGGTGTATTAGGCACATAGTAAATTATCTTTCAATCTTCTCTAGTATTTATATTCTTTTAGGAAAATAAGTTTCTTAAAAATGACTTCTTTAGTTGAACTATAAGTAATTAGTAACACTTCAATTTCATTGTCTTCCTCTCACTTACCCACCGACGCTTCCAACCCCCAATCCACCCCAAGTCCCCATCCTACCCAACATTGTTTTGTTAAAATACATATAAATATTGTTAAGATAATATATTTTACTTATTTATCAAATATTAAAAAATAAAATAAAAAATCCATTAATATTTTTCATCAGAACATTTTCGTTCCTACTAAACACATCCATAATGTAGCATATCTATCACTCTCTTAAAAAAAATATATTAAATGTATCACACTTGGAAATTAAAGGCTTTGCCTTATTACAACTTGCCAGTAAATTAACAAGATAAACGATAAAGTAATGCTGGCGTAAGCGGCATAGAGATTCTAAGTAGCAAGTAATTTTATACAAATTTATACGAAAAAGGTGAAAGAGGCATATATGAGAGAGGGGGATACCATCCGTACGCAACTTAATATTTTAAAGTTTATAAGAGAAAATACATTATTACCTCATTAAACTTGTACCCTTTTTTTTATGTAGATACTTAAAGTTTACGGGGTCCTATTACCCCGTCCAACCATTTCCAACAATTTTAAATACACTACATGTACAATATTTGCAATCTCATGACCAGTGCGTGTGTTTCACCTCAAATAAAATAATATTCTTTTTATTTTTCTTACTTGTTTAATAGTGGGTCGGGTAAAACCATGACCCACTCACATTTTAACCCTTAAACCTTTTTACAAAATTCATTGTTCATCTTTCCCAATTTCTTTTCCCAGTTCTTTCGATTTACTTCACTTCAAAAGATTATTATTTTTGTCTGAATTTCTTTGTAAATATATATTTATGTAAGTTTTGTGTGTTATTTTTCAGTATTTTTGGTGTTTGATTTCAAAAAAAAAATTCTTCAAAAATTAGTTTAATCCTTTTTAGCTTTGTGGGTATTCTGAAATCAAGACTAGCTTTGAGTTCTATAAGTAAATTTCACATTTTTTAAAAATTTGTTCGAGTAGATTCTTTGATACTTTTGATCTAGGGAAACTATATGAACGAAAATGGGTTCAAATTTCTTTGCTGAAAGGTAAATTAGGTGTTAAATTGATCAAGTATAATGTCGTTGTTAAGTAGATTTTTCTAATAAAAGGCCTTAAGATGGATTGCTAGAACTTGATGATAAAGTATACAATATAAAAAATCGCTTCGCATAGTAAAGAACCAACTTTTGTTGTTGAGAAAAGCTCTCAACAGCCATTAATGGTGGTTTGGGGAAGAAGAAACATGGGCCTCTTTTCACTTTGGTTTAACAATGCAATGGGCCTCTTTTCACTTTGGTTTAACAATGCTATGTGTCAGTTTTCCATTGGTTTGGGGCCGTAATTTTACTATTTCACACACTTTTCTAGTGTGAAATTACAATTGCCGTGAAAATGGATCAAAATGGCATATTTATTGTCGATTTAAATGGTTTCGTGGGGTACGTAATAGGACCTCCACAAACTTAAGGTGTCTTCTTCAAAAAAGGATCTAAGTTTGATGGGGTAATTATGTATTTTCTTTTTTTTATAACTATATATCTTATATATTATATATAGTAAATTTTTAAGCAAATGAATTTACAAATGTTTTAGTGCGGAGGTATATGAGTTTCGCTATATCTGGTTTCAATAAAGGTGGAGGTAGATCGAAGAAGTATTGGAGAGGAGTGATTAGACATGACATGACATAAGTTTAGCTTATCAAGGACATGACCTTAGATAGGAGGTTGTGAATGACATAAATTAGGATAGAAGATTAATAGGTAGCAATGTGTTGTCTTGTTGTCGGTCCATATTAATAGTCGCAGTATTACTTATGTAGTTCTTTATCCTCTATATGTTGCTCTTTGTACCTCGTATTGTTTTGTTGTAGTTTTGTTTGTTACTATATGTTGTTTCTTGTACTTCTATTACTTTTATTTTGGAACTACTTTGAACTATATTTCCTTGAGTCAAAGGTTTATCGAAAATAGTATCTCTACTTCTAAGGTAAAAATAAGATCTACATACAATCTACCTTCCTCACGCCCCACGCTATGAAACTACACTAAATGTGTTGTTGTTCATGAATTCGCTATTAAATATAGGGAAAAAGGTCTGATATACCCCTTAGCTTTATCATTTAGAGCTGATATACCCCTCATTATGAAAGTGACTCATATATGCCCCTATTGCTATACAAATGGCTCACATATACCCTTTTCCTCTAACGGAAGTGAAAAAAATAATTTTAATTTAATATTTTAATTATTATTATTTTATAAAAAATATAATCCCATATGGGTATATTTAATCCTCCTCACACATAATTTTTTTTGACTTTTTTTGTTTCAACGACTAATTTAAAGTTATTATTTTGATGGTCAAATTTATTTATGTTTCACCAATTTTCTTGTAAACTTTATTATAGATGACCCTTTTTTTTTTCAATAAAAAAAACTAGATAACAATATAGTCGAAAAAAATAGTTTTAGATTATAATATAGCCACAAAAAAAATTAGTTTTAAAATTTTCTCTTTACACTAACGAACGAAAGAAAAAAATAAAATAAGAATAAGAAACTCAAAAAATGATA